TAAACAAACAAACAAACAAAAGAGAATACAAAACATTATACAAATTACATTGTCAGTCTTATTGTTTAAAATAAACATTTATAAATGTTTACAATGTCAAAGAATAAAAAAAAATAAAAATAAGATTCAAAATATTTAGTAAATTTTTAGTAAATATCAATGACCTCTAAATAAATTTATTTCAATGTCATTGGTAAATATAGTAATAGCAAACATTAGACCAGTGTTTACAAGATCAAATTCGATTATCAAAATATGTCATTTACGGCGTAGAAAGCCTTGTCTAATAAATAAGATTTCAATGCTTTGTGAAATGAAGAAAATGATGTTATGGATGATTTCAAATGGCAGGCGATTGTGCATTTTTTTCGAATTGTAGAATATTGAACTTTTAACTAACTCTGAGCGTGGGGTAGGTAGATAAAGATCTTGCTCCGCGTTCCTGAGTGGATAAGTGTAAGGTGGCCTTTCTTGAGAAGCTGATACATGCTAACGTATTAGGCAAACGGATTCAAATATAAATAAGGAAGGAAGATTTTAGTAGTTTTATACAGGTACGGAAGAAAAGTTATAACTCTTCAAATATACATTTATACGAACTTTTTTACTTATTTTTATCTGCAGAATATGCTGCCAAAGTTTCCGGAATACAGTTCGGACCACCCTGTATATTTATTAATTTAACTAGAAATATAATAATTACATTTCCTCCATTCCTATCCTAACCCATAAACATTATAAAATTTAGATTTAGAACCTAAATATGTAATATATTTAAATAAATAAAAGCTGAATATTTTACTTCACGTTAATATACAATTATTAAACATATCATACATATAAGTTTTAATATATTTTTTAGATATTATATTATCTTGTATCGATCAAAGATTTTAACCTTATTTCACTTCGAAATATATTCAGCTTTTATACCCGTTCTATTTCTCATATTAGTTGTCTTTTTTACAGGTAATTCAAGATGAATAAATACATCTTGATGCCTGAGGTAATATAACGAGGATCCAGAAATTAGGTGCCGATAGGTCTACTAATTTTTACAAGTCATTTTTGTACAATTTAGGTTAAAATCCTTGCTGTTGCAGGAGGGAATTACGCAAATCTAGAACAATACACTAGTTTATTTCAAACTTAGACTTATATTTTGCTTTACATGTTGACATTATCTGTTAATGATTAAGTGCAAAGTTAGTTTTAATCAGCTGTTAATGATGCTGACACTGGTAGCAAAATATGCGTGTGAAGTTAGTTATATTTTAAAATCTGAGTTGCCAACGTTTAGCCCAATTTAATGTTATTTTTATATTGCCTATTATTCATCGTATCCTTATTTATATCTACATTTTACAACATGTGGCAACCGCGCTAACTGAATCTTAGAAACTCACTGCTATTGCCCAGGGAATGCTAACATTCACTAGTAAAAGTTGGTTTCAAAAATAGCTGTCGAACTTTTGCTGGCGCAGTCTTGGCAAATCAGTGAATCAGTTTTTGCTAGTGATTGTTAACAATCACTGATTTCCAACTTTTACTGTAATGTTACAGTTACATATAATCCACAGTTTATATAGAAATATAGGAATATTTTTACTTTGTTAAGAATTGGTGGATATCTATCGATATTTTGACTGATGTTTCTGTATCCCCGTTGTCGAGCGAGGTCGTCAGTTGACGACAGATCATTCTTTAGCTCGTTATTACACCGGTGATAACATGTGCACAGTTACATTGTTCTTTGTGTGTGAATATTATATTTAACTCGTCATACATGATCTAAGTTTTTACAAAGGCTATTAAAGTAATACAGCGATTACATATTTTCTATAAACAAACTATTTATAATCAGAAACGTGAAAATATATACCTTATAAGATTAAAAACGGAGTATCAGAAGTAGCTAAGTTGTGAATAAAAACATAAATTTCAGAAATTAGAGTATTTTAGATAGTAATGTTGCTTGTTTGAATTTACAGTTAAAGTACACTTGATCTAAGTTTCTGTGTATATCAGGTAGATAATTTTAATACATAAGGGGAATATAATCAAATTAATGAGTAGCAAACTATAACTTGGCTTATTAATTAATTCTCAACATATTCTGTGAACAATCAGTAATCAGACTATTTAGTACAGCTACTGTACCTTGTAAACTCTCTTTGTAAACTAAATATTTAATTATATTGTATTAGAGCCAATAATAATGTTCGTATTAAAATTTGAGTATATTTTCTTCCGATCAGGGTAAGAAATTATTGTTTTTTTTTAAATAATAACTTAGATCTTTTTAAGGCGACTCTTAAATAAGTGCAACAGAAAGACGTTAATGAGATTTTTTTCGCAAAAAAATGAAAATTTGGATTTTTTTGAAAAAAATTTTAGAACTTTTTTATTTCTAGTTAAAAAACGTAATATCTTCATAATATGACAACATAGGTAGTAGATAAAATTTACAAGAAAGAAAACCCAGCAAAAATCCAGTGGTATTCAAAATATAAGCAAAAAATCTTTTTTTTTGAAATTTTCAAATTAAAATACATAACTCGGTTATTTTGGAATTATTTGAAAAACGGTAAAGACAAAAAAGTTGTTCCACTGCAAGTTCTGCTAGTAAACAGCTTTAAGCTTAAAGAACAACACTTAGTGCTTAAAAAACACAAAACTATTTATTTAAACCAAAAACTCGTTATACCTACAAAACTAAAATGTCAAAACGAATGAAAATGTCTGGAAATAAATAAATAAATGTGGCAACTTGACATTTTTTACAGCAGAGCTACCACCTGAATCCCCAACGCGAAATTTAAATTCCAGTTAGTCAACCCGGCGTCGAATATGTTCATGATTGGCAACAATGAATTTAGAAATCGCATCCTCGATTACGCAACTAAAAGTTTATTTGGTATCAAATATATGTCAAAATATCTTGCACACATACAAATCTATTTGATATGAAATATGCTTTTATTCGAATAAAAATCAATTTCAATAAACTCATTTAGTAAGCATTCGATATTTCCCATCACTAGCAGATCGGGGAAGTTAGCAACTCACTGAAAGCAGGAATTATAAAATACGATCCTGCTTGGGCTGCTACAATCCTGCTTTATCCTGCTTCAAATCCCAACCCAGCCACACCTACCAATTTTGAGCTATAGGTATTTTTATTTTGGTTGCTAACTTCCCAGTTGGCAACACATGAGAAACAGGATCGCCAAAACTGGTTCCTACTTACGCTGCTATACCCCTGTTGCATCCTGCTCTAAATTTCATCCCAGCAACACTTGCTGGTTTTAAGATACAGCAAGTTTAAGTCTGATTGGTGACGTCACACATAGCAACACAATAAAAGCAGGATGGCTGAAACAAGTTCCTGCTTTTGCTGCTATAATCCTGCCTTATCTTATTTCAAACCCTATACCAGCCTCTTGCCGTTTTTGAAATACAGCAAATTTCGTTTTGATTATTGGAAATCGGGAGTTGGGGAATTGGAGTTTTCCAATCATGTAATCTGTAAAAGATCAAATATAAAATGCTTCTAATGATTCCTTTCACAACGAGACGGGCACCATTTACGGACAAATTACGTAAGAAACCCCATGGGCTCGTTGGGGATGTGAACTGGAAAAAAACATTAAACAAATATCTATGAAAAATAAAATTTTTATTAAACAAAATACTAAAAAAACTATGAATCACGAAAGATGACCATCACGTGACAATTTTACTGTTTATCAAAAACAATCGATACCGCTAATTCAAATGTGTTAGACAGAGACAAAAACAAACACTCCAAAAGCCGCGAGAAATACCAACATATATTGCAAATTAAATAAAAGCTTTTAAAAACATTTTTAAAAACAAGCTTTTATTTAAATGTTCTAAAAAGAAGAAAATAATTTTCTGTAACACTTTTACTATCAACTTATAATCTCATTACACAATTTATATGATATAAAAGCTTGTTGCTGACTTGTCCGCTAGGGCACGGAACAAAACGTAAAAAACAAAAGTTTAAGGATAGATTGACAAACAAAAAAAACAAAATAACACAAATCACACTTGCGAGAACTATGAATTCAAATTCATAGTAGAAAACTGGAAAATTTGAGGTTTTGGTTCGCGGGTACGTTAAGGCGCTTTCGGATGACTAAAAACTCTAAAGTTACTCCTGAGAATACTGAACCTGCCTTATTTTGTTCAACTGTTCGGAATAATTATTTATGGCTTGGAAGCTTATACATATTTTAAGCAAATAAAGCAAAAAATAGCAGCCTAAGCTGAAACTTATCAAGTTAAAAAAAATCATTCCTAATCTTAATGTGCGACTGATTACCAGGAATCGATTCGTTCTATTTTAAAAACGACAAGCGTGGCTGGTATGAGGTTTAAAGCAGGATAAGGCAGGATTATATTAGCCAAAGCTGGAACATGTTTCAGCCATCTTGCTTTTATTGTGTTGCTATGTGTGACGTCACCAATCAGACTTAAACTTGCTGTATCTTAAAACCAGCAAATGTTGCTGGGATCAAATTTAGAGTAGGATGCAACAGGGGTATAGCAGCGCAAGCAGGAACCAATTTTGGCGATCCTGCTTCTCATATGTTGCCAACTGGGAAGTTAGCAACCAAAATAAAAATACCTATAGCTCAAAATTGGTAGGTGTGGCTGAGTTGGGATTTGAAGCAGGATAAAGCAGGATTGTAGCAGCCCAAGCAGGATCGTATTTTATAATTCCTGCTTTCAATGAGTTGCTAACTTCCCCGATCTATCACTAGCTGTCAGTATTAGGCAATATTCTCTAAATTAAGGGATTTTCTTAATAATATAGCGATATTGTAATTATCAACAGCAAATCAGTATTTTTTAAGTGGTTTTAAACAAAAAACCAAAAAAAGCTAGACGAAACTTAGATCATTTTATGGCGAGTTGGCCTAATGAGTTCTACTTAACCTAACGTTGCGTTATTATGTGACTGTGGACAGGCCATAGCGGTGTGAACCAGCTAGGGGGTGTGTTCGTCAGCGGGCGCCCCCTGCCCGACTCCACACGGCAGAAAATCGTGGAGCTGGCCCACTCGGGAGCCCGACCCTGCGACATATCCAGGATACTGCAGGTGTCCAACGGATGCGTGTCCAAGATACTCGGCAGGTATATCTGGTTCATTCAATGTAGAGCGTGTTGATTTTTTTTATTTTGTATTTAATTTTTTTTTTCGTAATGATGGTGTCGTGTGGTTGGTTGATTTCCTTAGATATGATTTATGTTTTTTATTGTACTGTTCTGAATATACAGGGTTGCCAAAAAGGTACCAATAAATAGTAGTTAAATTATGAAATAGAATATTTATGAGGTGTGTAAGTTATAAGTACTAAGGATATCTAAATCGGATCTCATACGATCGAAAAAAAACGGCATGTTGTCAACATATTCCAAATATCGTATGATCGAAAAACAAATAGCCTGATATACAGCTGGGCAATCACAATCGATGATTATTGCGGTAAGGTCAAGCCCTAGACGTCATTTACTGGGCCCGTACTCTTCCTTATTTTTTAATGGCGCTCACTGTCAGTTGGCCTGAAGATTTATTAGCTATTAAGATCGGCAAAAAAAGTTTTTTTTAATTTCATTTAAAATGAGTTATTTGGGTCATAAATGACCTAAATACAAAATATTTTCATGGTTTCTGTCTGTCTGTGTGTCTGTCTGTCTGTCCGTCTGTAACACGATAACTCAAAAACCGTTAAACCGATTTTAACCAAATTTGGCACAAAAATACTGTGGCACCCGAGAATCTGTCCATTAGTTTTTGGCGGGGGTGGGGGGTTAAAAAATTTTATTATGGCATGGGGTTAAAAATTTTAAAAAATCGTAACTCCAAAATTACTTAACGTTACTTAAGTTAATTACTATTAACGCGGTTTTCAATTTAAGATTAGGAATAATATTTGCAACAAAATTTGCAATAACATCAAAATCAGTCAAAGTCGCAGTTTTTGAGATATTCCGTGTTTCCGTAGTCCGTTTTTGAGAAAATCGGTGTGGAGAACTCCAAACTCCCATCGGACTCAACCCCAGGTGGCGGATAGGGGAGATAACCGCGGACCAAAATTGGAAAAATTCCTTTACTTTGAAACTAAAAGAACTGCCTACCAACTTTTCATTAACATATTTTAGTATGGGCGGCTATACGTGTCTACCTGCGCCGGCGGCAATTTTTTTTATTTTGAATACAAATGATTTTTAAATATTGAAGGTATATTCTATATAAATTCGAGAAACAATATTTTGTTCTTTTTTAATTTTTCTATGATTAGTGTTAATTTTTGACAAGTTTAATATCAATTTTTAGTAAATGAATTGACCTATTTAAAGGCCAACTGACAGTGAGCGCTATTAAAAAATACGGAAGGGTACGGGCCCAGTAAATGACGTCTAGGGCTTGACCTCGCCAAAATTATCATCGATTGTGATTGCCCAGCCGTATTTGACGCATTGTTTTTTCGATCATACGATATTTGCAATATGTTGACAGCAACTTTCATATTTGAAATTAATACACCCATTTTTTATAGAATTAAATTTTCTGTAAAATTGGGTGAATTTTGATATCAAATACTGTCTAATCTAACGTAAAACTATATAGTCTATTTTGATAATAAAATAAAGAATGTGTGTGATTTTAATTGAAAAAAGTGAGTTAACATAACTTTTTTGAACTATATTTACTATTCTTTGACAGAGATATCGCATAACATACTAATACGTAATAATACTGTATGATCGAAAAAAACGGCGTTGAAAAAAAGTTGGCTTGAAAATGACGATCAGTCACATTCCCCATATAATTCTACATACAGGTTGTTAATTTGTTTATTACTCGCAGCAAGAGCTTTATGGTTGAAATATGGCAACCTCGACCCGCTCGTCGACGAGACGGGACGAGTAGGCAGTGTTGCCATTCTGTTCCCCAATAAGTAACCGTCCAGTTAACAATCTGTATAAAATAGCAGTGATATTCATAGCGTTCATTTCATAGTCATCGCGGCACTTTTTGTTCGATCATACGTACTGTATGATCAAAAAAATTATTATCGATTTTATTAGAAGTAAAAATGATACTTTTTGCGGGGAGGCTCTACGTTTTAATCATTTTTACTCTGAAACGTCACAAATAATTTTAAACAATTTTAAACGGTGCAAATACTATAAAAAAAATATTTAAAAGTATTACCTTCTAAGTACATAATTATATATCGAGAAACTATAGTTACAGTCGTTGAATTTAACACTTTATGTCAGTTTAATAATATTGTTTCGTATTTTTGCACTAGGCGTAAAACCGTTTTACTTTTATGCCTAGGCGTTAAAATTACTATTTTATATTGTTAACCACGTCCACGTCGCAAAAATTAATACTTTTATGACGTTTGAAAAAAAAATATTTTAATGTATATTTTTTGATATAAAGAATGCTATATACTTAATTTTGATAACTCGATATTAAAAATAGTCAACATTTATTGCGAATTTTTGGCAATCCCTCTATTTTCTATACAGGGTGCGTCTCAAAAGTGGCTCACCGCTATAACTTTTTTGTTCTCTTAGATAAATAACGAGATTTGGTATGTTAATATATGATATAAATTAGGATTGATTGACATATTCAATAATTGTTTTCGGTCTATTTCTGTTTCACCGGAAATTACTACAACTTTTGATTTTAAATGGAATTTTTTTACTTTATTCGATAGAAAATGACACCCTTAATAGAATGACATTATATGGTTTATTTAAAACTGTAATATACGGTTCATTTGCATATGTGCAAACAAGAGCCACCCTCATTCCATTTGAAAAAATTGAGATGATTAAAAATACGATTTGGGCATTTTTAGCCGGCCTGGACAACACACTAAAAACATTAGGCGATCAAATTTATTTCTCGAAGGCTCCTTGATTAAAAATTATTGTTTTTAACACAACCATGGCACTCTAGATTGAAATTTAAAATACAGTCTTTTTAAGCCATGTGATATGCCTACTACTAATGAAAGTATCATTTTCTATCGAATAAAGTAAAAAAATGCCTAGGGTGTCATATACAAATCAAAAGTTGTAGTAATTTCCTGTGAAACAGGAAGCAGCGGAAAAGATTTGTATGCGTCAATCAATCCTAATTTATATCATATACTAACATATCAAATCTCGTTTTTATAACTGAAAAAATAATAAAGTTATAGGGGTGACCCACTTCTGAGATGCACCCGGTATACCTAATGTAATTACAACACTATAATTTCGGATATAATTAGTACCAAGGAATTGATTAAAATTCGATGCTTTTCGTTCTTTTTTTCTTTTTTATAGGTACTACGAGACGGGGTCCATCAGACCGCGCGCCATCGGCGGGTCCAAGCCTCGAGTAGCTACAGCAGAGGTCGTCTCCAAGATCTCGTCCTACAAGAGAGAATGCCCGTCGATATTCGCTTGGGAGATCAGGGATCGGCTGCTACAGGAAGGAGTGTGCACCAACGATAATATTCCCAGCGTAAGTCCATTTATAATAATTTGCCCATTATTAAAATATTAGTATTGAACTTTGATTGACTTGGTATGCAATGTTTCAACGCCGTTTTTAAATGCTAAAATTTATCGAAAATTTGACTATTTCAATGTAATAAAATAATTTCAATTTTTTTTCCATAGCAACTGTTAAAATGTCCTTATATCTATCAAAAATAGTAGATATGTAGTTGATAAAATAGTACTTTAACCGCAAGGGTAGATTAAATGATACTTTAACAGCGAGGATAGGTTAAAAAATTTATTTCTTCTCGCACGTTGTTTAATTGCTTCCATTTTTGAACATTTTTGTATTCCTTTTCATAAGATATTCGGGATTTAAATGGAAGTAGTTTGGATATGGCGTTTGTCGCCTCAGCCTGAATATCTGTTGGTAATTTACTTATTTCGTTTTGAGCCATTTCTGGCTCCAATTCAATCAGCAATCGACACGAAAGAGAATTAAAAAATATTGACTCAAAACTGACAACTAAAGAGACAGCTTTATTTATTTGTCAAATTACATAGAAACCAACGCCAACCCAGCACAATATTTTTTCTACTCGTAATAAATTCCTTGATAAAATATTTTCTGAATATTTTTTAAAACGTAACTCGCTATGGAAAACCATATTGTTTTATACACGACGATAAAATTGCATTATCGTCTCCCGAAGTTAATTCACTCGCGATTTTATCGCTCCTGAATTATTCTTTTCGGTTGACGATAAAATATAATTTTATCGTCTTGTATAAAAAATAACTATTACGTATTTCATGGAAAGCAAGTACCTATTGCTACAGATTGGCTCCTAACTTTTTTTGAGTTGAATGGGTTATGCGGTGTTTACACGGGTCGATTTTCGCCGTGTGGCAAGTTGCTTCGACAACGCCTTGCCAAAGCCGCATAGCTTCCCCATTTACACAGTCTACTGAAATCGCAAGTGACTCAGTCTATATTTTTCGAAAATGTTAAGTAGAGCAGGTGTTTTACGTGCTGGCATCAAAATAGTTAGTAAATTAATTACTCAGGAATTGCTGAAAGAGCAAAGAAAGAAGAAAAGGAAAACAATACACCAGCTTTGGCTTGGTAAAATAATAAATACTTACTTATTAAACTATTGTAGGTAAATTAAATAAAAGTAGACCGTTATAAATTTAAATAAAGTCCATGAACTAATGTCGATTTTGAAAATAGCTACTAACTGTCACTAGCAAATTGCTATGGCGACATAAGCCATTACGATTGCCATTTTATTGAAAAATAGCTTTTTATTCAAAATCTGAGCCAGATAGGTATATAGGAAACCCTGATATAGTTTGAAAGAGCACTTAAATCTGCTTCGACTTATTTAAAAAAATACATAGTGTTGTATTTGAAATAACGAAGTTTTTATGTAATATAAATATTTAAAATAGACCAGCAATTTCTGATACCCCTGTACACATTTAAGGTAGCAATATTTTTTTTTAGTAAAGTTTATTTCTCTGGCTTCAAAGCCAGCACAAGAATTAAATCTACAGGGTGTTGACAAACTTTTTTTATTATAGCATGCATATTTAAATATCTTTAAATATCTGAAAAACCAAAGCATTTAAACATATTAAACCCTTATAATAAATGCCTTATTCTATGCCCAAGAATTCAAAAATGAAATAAAATACCGGGTGTTCCATAAGAAAAATATAACTTTGGTATGGATTTTAGTTCTGACACATCCAATTTGAAAACAATTTTAAATTATGAACATTGTCTCTCTACATTAACCCATAAAAAATTTGTTTCTACATCTTTCCGTTTTCGTATAATAACCGAGGCGAATGAGGTGCGCCACCCTGTAAACCAAAATTGTTGAATAGGTAAGTGCTTCAAAGGAAACCAAATAAAATAAAGTGCGTTGGTTTTACATGAGATATGACAACTTTTTGTAGAGAAAGAATTGTGTTGCGCGACTTGGCTTTTAGTATTGAAAATACTTCTGGCCGCGTTTATATGGGACCCATCTTTGAAAAAACGACATGCTAGAAGCAACATGGGTTCAATAACCTGCCTGTCAACACGTACTTAAGTTGATAGAGCCGGCATTGATGAGCGAATAGGGCAAGGTCGAGTCTAGACCGGCGGATAAAGACAGCGATATTATTTTAAAAAAAATATGTCAAGGCATGGGTTGTTAGGTACAGTTTGGCTATTTTAATCTAACTATTTCCGTACGAGAAACAAGGGGCAAATTATACGAGAAAGAGCAGAATCACATAAATAATAAATTTAGACTAATTACCATATTTTTTTTATATGATTATTATATTTTTAATTATAAACTTAGGATAAAGAAAAAGTTTGCATGGTTTCCACCGCGAACAGGCGTTAAAACAAATAAATCCAAGGCGTTGTCAAATATTTATTGGGATAAGTTGATAAGTTTTTACCGTTTGAATATTGTTGTAAATAATAATTATTATCATTTAATTAGTGCTAACTTATCAAAATTCACAACACGGCGAAATTTCAACAAAATCGGCCAACGGATCTTTGAAATATTAATTAAAAAATGTCTATTAGGACTTGATACCCTGTATCTTTAAAATTATGCATTTCCGGATACATGTTTATATTAACATTTTACCTTAAAAACACATAGAATCACCTTCTGAAGTTGGCCAGATACTTAATTAACAGCCTGTATTTAAAAATGGCTAGCTAGCAATTTTGTAAGTAAAGCTATGTTTATTTTAATAGAAAAAAAAAAATACATTTCATAAAAAATAAACAAACCCACAATTCAATTACTATACACTACAAAATAAAACAGTAAATCACAACAGTACACCAAAACACTTTTAAAACACATGGTTAGCGAAACGCGCGTCCAGTGTAAAAGTAAAAGTGTTTTGGTGTATTGTGGTGATTTAGTGTTTTATTTTGCTGTGTAACACCAAAGGTTCCAACCCTCAACTGTAATACTATACACTAATTAATTAATTTTAAATGTATCTAAATAGGCACTTTAATAATTGAAAAATGGACATGAGCACTTCATAGAGTATACCAAATATGTAAACAAATTCCAGTAACAAAACCACAAATGGCACATTAAAATCTGCATTATCTGAAATCAAACTATAGGTACCTAAACGGCCAATCAGCCAGACAACAGTCACAAGACGCCGACATCGATAACGCCGATGAGCAGTTTTTAATAATTATTCCGAGTTAATACTTCAAGTAGCATTCCTTCAAACAAATTTTAATTTAAGTATTGTTAATACATATATTCATATTAATGATTATAGCCTGTATGATTTCTAAAATAAAAAATCCAGCGTGTTTTTATCAGAATAACTATTAAATGATTAACTAGAAATAATTAATATTTATTAACTTCGTAAGTGTTATTTTTTAATATAATTATGAATTTAATAATTAAATAATTATCTTAAGTTTAAATTGTGGTAAACTTGTTATGAATTTCAATCATTTATATTTAAAATCTTAGGGAAGGCAATATAAATTTTAGGCAGAAGAACTCAAGGGAAGGACTGTGTATTAGTAATTAAAGTTTTACATTTTTTTTACTTGCCATTTTTCTTGTTTTTCACGTTGCACGTTCACTCTTCGTTGTGTCACACACAATCTGAATTTCGGATATGATGCAGAACTGATAAATTAGACCAAATATATTAATTGCAAGGTATGCAAAGAAATATTTTTCTTAACTTTGCAAATACTTAAGGCATGCAATAATTTAAAAAAAATTGATTGAACGTGAGATTACTTCATAATTCTTGAAAGTCTTGGATGATAAAGATTTGAATTATTATGGGTCTGTTTTGTTTAAGAAGCTAACAAATAATTTCAAAAACTTAACTATCAAAATATAATGGTAGAAAATGTTTAAAAGTATGTATAGGTATAATATTCCATATTAATTGGACATACTGAATGTAAACTAGGAATACATAGTTGCTGCAGTCGATAATATATTTTGCTGTTTATTTTCCTCATAACAAAAAACCGTCAATGCCGCTACTCACATTATGGGCACCTTTTTATACTTAAATCTCTTAATGATGTTTAAAAATACATATGTAGGTACATACTATAAGTAGTGGTTGTCGTGGTTTTTTTATTAGGTATGATGAAAAGAAGCTGCAAACTAAATTATCGTTGGAGCCAACTATATTTTAATTTATTTTTATCTACAGTAACTATGCACGGTAAGGGTTCAAAATATGCCTATACTGTAAGGTAAAAATACATTTCCTCCATAAATTTACATCGTAAGTTCGAATATTAGTTAAACCTAGGAATACCCAGGTAATAGTCGGAAATATGCAAAAGAAGGGGTGAGTTTAGGTTAGATTAGAATTAGGTTTTAGTTGGTTTTGAATTAATAAAAATATAGACCTAATCTAAACTTAACCGAAACTGACCCACTTTTTGGTATATTTCTGGCTCCTACGTGGGCAACTCTACGTTTAACCAATATTCGGGCTTTTACGGTAACATAATACTCATTCTGATTGGTTTAATCTGGCTCCATAACAAAACTGTGGGTTCGAAGTGCTATTGCAAATTAATGCACTTAATTCTATGTATACACTCTCATAAAAAGCCATCACGATACAAATTAAATATCAAAATTATTTAACGTTGCTAACGGTTCACTTGTTCACTATACGTATCTGGAATATATTTGCGAATGGCGATCAGCGATACGATGGTGCGTCCAAACCTGGGGAGACGAGCGCGAGACATTCCAAATTCGCTGTGTGGACGAGTCTCGCGAAAGCGTCGCGAGTCAACCTCCGGAGCCTCGTTGCTATCCGTCCCCTGTCGGTTTTCCAACGGCCGAGAGATCAAAGAAAGCTCGAAAGTCTCGACCTGTTTTTGGTACGCCCCACCCGACTGCGAGATATTAGCTCTGATTTATAAATTTCGACCATTTAAAATTAAGTAATCTCAAATTTCTATTATCATTTTTT